TTTTTTTTTTTTTACTTCAACACACAAATTACATATGAATAAAAAAAGATAACAATAGTGTCTAGCAAGTTTATTAGAACATGGATATTTATTGATTTTTTACTGTTTGCGTGCATGACAACATGAGTTTATATGTCTATACATATACGAGTATATATTGATGGTCATATGCAATAACGACACAACTCAAATTCGTATTTTTCAGTAGAACCAATTCAAGATTTTGTGTTTATTTTTTAGCAATATGATGTCTTAGAAAGTAATTATGTCGGTTTATTTGCAGTAATTCTGTAGGGAAAATTTATTAGCTTTCAGATAATGTCTTTTTTCTAAAGTTTTTAATAGGGGTGGACTGAAAAAATACGAAATTAGTAACAAATCCTAATTAGTTAAACGAAAATAACTCCGCTGATATTATTGAATAACGGCACAATACAAAAAATATCGACAGCTTTTGACTTATGCCAATTTTCACGATAAATGTGGGACACAGCCAATGTACAATAGTAAGGGTTACCTACTTCGGTTTTGTGACAACTGGCACCACTGCGCCCCTGTCGGATTGGTAACAAATAAGCATATGCCGATTTGCCACAGAAAAATATGGTTCTTTATAAACCTAATCCGATATATAACTCAAAAACATGGCATTTTGAGTTGTACCGTTATTGCATAAGACCATCGATATGTAAATAAGTAAATTTTGACTACTTTGTAAAAAAATAACAAAAGTGCTAATTTTAGAGACAAGCATGCAGTAGAAAATCCAATATTTCGCGTTAGCGTTGAATAATTGAGACATTCGCTTGGCAAGCAGAGAAAAGTTAATTAAAAAAAGGCGTGCTTACGTCAAAAATATTTGAAAACTTGGCATTTGTCTGACAGCTTTTTCTCATTTAAATGATGGTTGGATTTTTTTGTTGTACTACCAGCATTAGAGGGATGCTATTGCCAAATCCCAAAAAATCCGATTTTTTTACAATGTATGTTTAGGGCTACCTTGTATTTCAGCATGTCATACCAAGTAAAACAGATGCTCAGGGAAACCGATTGGTCGACCGACTCAATAACTGGACACTCTGGTGTTCTAGCAGGCTTCGATGTCATCCCTGATCGTACAGATTACTGCGCCACCGAAATGGCTCCTAGGAGCTTCTTTTCTACCTACCTTCCCTTAAAGGAGGACTGGGCCGGGCGGAACTTCTGGAGAGAGGAAGCGGTGAACTTCTTCTCGGATGTATCTAAACTGGACGGCTGGGTTGCTACTAACCCATTGGTGGTGGGGTCTTCTGTCGAGAGCTCTCCATCAGCACTAAGTTCAGGCTCGCAGACCTCTGCAGCTTATTCCAGGCCGAAGTGACTGCTATCAAGGATGCGGTGGATTCACTGCTCCAGAGTGCTATGACAATCCGGGTGGTGAGCATTTATTCTGATAGCCAAGCGGCTATCAGCGCCTTGAGTGCGTTGGAGGTACGCTCTACGCGTCGTGTCGCGATATTTCTGTGTATTAGGCTTATTTCGGTCCCGTGTCACAGCGACATTGCGGGGAACTGCGGGGCTGACAAATTGGCCAGGAATAGCACTCGCGAAATATTATCGCCGGATAAAGAGCGGTTGGGTATGCCATTGATGACCTGTGGTACGCTGTTGGATAGATTGGCCTCATGTCAGGTGAGCGAGCGCTGGGCAAACACCAGGACATGCGCGATTGCAAGGTCCTTCTGGCCTCACACTCACAAAGCCGCAGCTCACATTTTTGTTGGGGGTAAGGCTGAGTATACTACCGGAGCCCGCTTGTCGCAGTTGCACCTAACCTAACCCTAACCCTACATTTGAAAAAAATACCCATTACAAATACCAATACGCGTCTACAAATACCAATACGCGTCCATAATTTCCTTCTCCCTTTTTCTTAATTTTCTAAACTTAATCTTCTCATTGGGTGCTACTACAGTTTCCCACTTCTGGTTGGTACCAAAGTTTTTCTTCTGCTCCTCCTTTTTTTAAGATATGCCAATTGGATATCCAAAGCGTAAACAGATCCTGCTGTGTTCATATAGTTCGTAACTACATCCTCTTCGGTACTAGTCGCCCACCCGATCAGGGCTATACATCTCACGTTGAATAGACCTCTCGAAGGCTCACAAAACGTTTTCCCATTTGTCCGGTATTTTTCGTTTTTCTAGCTCATATAAATTTAATTGCCAACCGTGCTCAAAGTAGCACCAAATTTCATGTCCGGTTTTTCAATTGCAAATGATGCCAATTTTTAAATGACAAAAGATATATGCGACCATAAATTTATGTCCACTTTTTTATGGTATTCAAAAATTCCACTTTTTAATTAAAATGACGAGTTGCCAATAATATATGTGCATTTTTGAATGCCAAAAAGTTTATGTCAATTTTTGGAGTGACCAAAAATATATGACCAATTTTTAAATTAGCAAAAACTTATGTCCAGTTCCTAAATAAATTAACTTCTGTGTTCAAATTTAAAATTATCAGAATTATATGTATGTCAAAATATCGAAAAATTATATACCCTGTTTAAGTGACCAAAATTAAATATATGTCTATTTTTCAAGTTACAAAAAATTTTCCACCAAAAATTCATGTCCAGTTTGTATGTCCAATTTTCAAAAAACTTAACATTTATGGCCAAAAATGACCAAAAATGTCGAAATTAAAAAAAATGTATGTTCAAAATTTATGTCGAGGTTAATGTCCAAATTTTATTTCTGGTTTTTAATTACAAAAAAACATCTGTCTCCTGTTTAACTGTCAAAGTTAAGTCTAACATCCAAATAAACACATATGTCTGTCCAGGTTTCAAATGACCCTAAATGTATATTAAATTTTTACACCACCATAAAGTGATGTCCATTGTTTGAAGTCCAAAGTGATGTTTAATTTTCAAATAAACCGAAAATTATGTTCAGTTTTTATATTCAGATTCAAAAATATATGTCCAGTTTACATTTTTAAGCTGTGTGGGAAGTAAGGCATGCAATCACCAATTTTTTTATTTTTTTTATTTTATTTTTTAATTTGAGGCCTTTGATCATAGCTATGCATTGTATACACAAATTATAAAAAAAAAGTAGAAAATAACTACTTCAGTCCAAAAAATTATAACCTCAAAATAACAAAAAAAAAGAACGGTCAATGGCTCGCAGCCGATTTTAAATTACTCACAATTGGCCATTTCACCGCTAAAAAATCAAAAATTACGCGAATACATAACTAATCTTCTGCAAAAACTGCATTTGTGTCAAATGTTGAACAATACTCTTTACATTTATTTGAATGCTTGTTAATTCAACGGTGCAAATTTAATTTACTAATACAGCAGCCATACCAAGAAACACAAGAAATTCAGAGACAGCTTAATAAACGATAAAACAATTACAGAAAAAAAATCACATTAATAAATAAACGAAACTGAGTAAAACGTGACAACCATGCAAACAGCTCAATAAAAAATACACCCAACAATAAAAACAAGAGACAAATACAAATTCAATTTGCAATTCATTAGAAATTCGCAAGAAACATAAAATTATTACACCAAAAAACAACGAATGAATGCCAAGTGACTTCGAACAACTTACGAACAATGAGGCATATCTAATAAATAATCGCCACGAATAGCCAAAAATATTTGAGTTTTAAGAAAAAATTACCTCAAACAACATTAAACACACCTTCCCTTCAACATCGCTTCAAGACGGTCGGTCATGCATGATTTATGTATTACCATTGTGGAGGAGAATACGAAAAGAGTTTGTAGAAATTTCGCTTTGACGCATACGCGTCGGCGCACCATCACCATTGAAGAGGAGCCGCCAGCCAACAACCGTCAACAACAGAAGCCACCAAAGTGCTTACCACCACCAATCACACGTGTGAGTCCGCACACCACAAGGACGACGACCACCACCACAACAACAAGAGGTGTGCCAGCCACTACCACCACCACCAACACCCGCATCACACGCGAATATTTGCTACCTAGTAGCTCTTCGGCTGCAGATAGCACAACTTCATTGACGGTAGCAGTGCCCGCCAAATCCAACATCAAAGTGTGGGCCGAGGAGGATAAAGACGAAAATTTGTGTTTGCACATCAAAACGCAACGTGGCGATAGGCGTGATCTGCCAGCGCAACGCAGCATTTGATACACGGATTGTGAGAAACCCAAGAAGGCGGGGCAGGCGAAGAAGGGCTACAAGTTGGTGATCGATTTGGATTGAAGCGAGCAGAATTGGAGGAGACAAAACTTAGCAATCAGCTTAATTTAGATCATTTGCGAATCAGCAGCAGCTAGTCAGTGAGTAAATGGAAATCGTATTTACATAGTTGATTTCTGTGAAAATATTTTTCTCGCTGCATAAAAAGTATGTTTGAACACTTTTCTTATGTCTGCTCATAACAAATAGCCGTTTTCTTGTACTGAGGCTAGCCTTCAAAGAAAAAAATGGGTTTAGTTTTGTTCGAAAATAACACAGCTATCCAAAAAAAAAAAAAGTTTATGCATATTACACCAAACCTGGTAGCGAATCCGAGGTCCTTTAGTCTTCATCACATCAGGTTCTTGGGCAGTTAGAGGTCAATTAGGGAAAATTTCAATGTATAAACCTGAAAACATAAGGATATAGATATAGGTCTGGTTTGATATGCATACACTTTTTTTTTGCAACCCTGTGTAATTTGTAGTAATTTCTATATTTCTAGTTTTTTTTTATTTATTTTAGAAGTGAACTTACAAAAAAAAAAATATTGTATGTAACAAAAAGTTGTATAAAATCAGCACTCGATGCATTAATTGTTTTTCGTTTATTTTTAGCAAAATAAATCTCAAGTGGATATCACGCCAATGCTTATGTACTGCATATACATATGTACAATATGTGTATGTATCATCGCTGTCTCTCACACTAGCTAAAATTTTTGAAAAATGTTTGCAATAAATCAAAGTCAACGGTAAATCTTTTATTTGCAAGCAAAGAAATTTGTGCTAACTATTCGAACGCTTTCCGCATTACTGTTGAATAAATAGAATGCTCTCTACTAAATGCTAAAATAACGCATGAGTTTATGTACGTGCAATTATCGTACTTACTTCAAAGGGAAACATTAGTACAGTACTGTACAAAATAGTAGAAACAAGAGACCGGTTTTTAGCTCATTTAAGCTATGTGCTGTGAGAGAAAAAACTACGTATGCAAGCTTTTAGAATTTGAATAATACTACATACACACTACTTAAGAAGTACTGCAAATCCCATAGTTTGGGAAAATTAGTGAAATTTCTTCTTTCGCTATTGCCGGCATTACTGTATTACTAATGAACCCACATGGCGTTAAAAGGCCAGAAGTGAATTAAAAATTTTAAATCATTGATAACCCTCTTCAAAAACCTAAAACATATTCCAAATGTTATACGCAATCTGTGGTTCTCGCGTGGTTCGGCTTCTCTCTTATTTTAAATAAAATGAATTTGACTTTTCAAATACGTGGCATTTACCACGTTGTCATTTTGAAATAAAGCATTTCCAAACCTACATTTTTCGATTAAAGCCCAAATAATTTTAATTTAACTTTTTCAAGCGGCGCCAACCCTCTTCAAATACCTCGGAAATATTCTAAATTTTCAAATAATCTTACCGCTCGTAGGTTTTTTAGAAATTTTTTTGTCAAATTTGCTTCCACATAAAGAATAAACACAGTTTACTTTTATATGGAAGGAACCCGCAACACCTTTAGCAAAAAATATTTATAACACGAACGGTAATTTTTAGCCACTTGAAACTAGCAAAAAAAAATCTAACATTTTTGAGAAAAAATGTTTAAATTTGGATGAAAATTTCAAAAGAAAAGGGGATCTCATGCGAGATACTTTTTTATTTTTAATTTTGCGGGGTTTTAACGTGGCGGGGCGCAAACCCAGCGTACGCGAAGTTTTACGCCTTTTCACGTCGATATAAATATCCGCACAAGAATCGCTTGTGGCCACTCCCAGGTGAATGGCAGTCAAGAGCTTTTCTCACTTACGTGGACTTCTGCGCACGGAACCATCCTAGTTACTTAAAGCAACAATATTATGAAATGTTTGAGGTAAACAAAGACTAGACGGCAAAACTATGCCCTTTACCAGGGTTGAGTGTAATGTCAAACGCATTTTGCACCGTAAAAGGGTCAAATTTTTTGGAAGAAACGAAATCACCATTAGTTTTGTATAGTTTTGTAGAAAGCTTAAACTTGAGTTTAAATTGGTTTTGTTGGAGAACAAACTGTGCTTGAAAATTTCCTAAAGATAAACTAATAAAAATAAGTACCAAACAATGTCATGTTTGAAATTGGAGTGCTAGTGATATGACCGGTACTGTCATTTTGTTATTTAGCAATAAATATAATTTTTTTCTATTTCATAAAAATGTAACTTCGAATATTAAATACGTAATAAATTGCTTATTCAATAAACTAAGTAAATAGTTTCATTGCACAAGTGCATCGTAAAAAAGACCTCAACACGAGCTTCTAAATATGTAACTTTTATATTCACTAACTTATTCATGAATAAATATGTTTCTTTCATTGCAAAGTTCACGAGCAACGGAAGTATAAAAAATTTGCACACCGCTATAAGTAAACATAGTTTCATATATTGTACGTGCATATATATGTATGTGGTGGTGTATGCCTAGATAAATATAAAATTATGTGGATTCAAGAAAATGTGCCTTTCTTCTTATTATCAAAAAAACAAAAAAAAGACATTGTTGACATTAGAAATAGCAGCAGTAATGTCTGGATGTATATATGTATGTATGCTTGTCTATATGTACATACATACATATATATGGACATATATGAGCCTTGCATGATTCTTCAAAAAGTGGAGTTAATCGATGTGTGTGCCACTGAACGGCTCATATATGTACATATGTATGTATGTTTATTTACCTGCTGGCGTACTAAAACAGCAGCTACACTGCAGCCAACGCCAATGAATTTTTCATTAATTGTGCCAACCGATTCGATAAGTTTGTTTGCGTTTTTAATTATTTACTCAGGCACATACACACACACACACACACACACACCTGCGCAGAGGGCGCTGAGTTCAGGTATGTATGTGTGTAATTTTTGCTACTTTTTTATCTTGCTTTTAATTTTTCTTTTTTTTTCTGGCTTTATTTGTAATCATTTTTAATACTTTTTACTTTCAAGTGGCGCTGAGTGTTGTATATAATTATGTGTACATAACGAAAATAACCATCTACTTGCATTAATTTACTTTTCTTAAGTAGCTTTTTGCACTCAGTGGCTCACAGTGGCCTCTAATTGCTTTGTAAATGATCACCTTAAGCACTTGTACTTAAGTGAAGCACATAAATTGATATGAATCTGTGTGTGTCACGGNACAGACAAAGTAGCAAACCAATTTTACCAACAGCATGCTTATTATGCGACTAAAAGTAATGCAAAAAATTTAAGAGTTGGGTTGTTAAAAAAATTAAGCAATTAAACAAAGAACAATTTTTGGCACCTTTAGTATCTCTATCTTTCCTGAAAACTTTTGCAAATACATTTTAAACCATTTCGAAAGTTTTGAAATTAATTTTTTATCACTTATATCACTCTTATAGATTCCTTAAGCTTAGTGTCGAGCACTTATTTCCATTCTTTTTGTCGTTTGGAAAAGTATTTTGCCGCTGCCCTTTTGCTTGAGAGCTGCAAACTGAAAGACTCCAAATGTTTGCAGGGAAGTAAGTGGATAATTATGGTGATCATATTTATGAGAGCTGAATACGGGACAAAAAATTATTTTGCAAATTTTTTCCACAACAGCTTACAGATCTTAAAGCCTCTGCAATAATCCTAGATGTATTAGCCCTGCAACAGTATCCTTTTACCCTGTAAAATCCATTTGAAAGATTTGTTAAATTTTAGTATAATAAAGTGCAATTTTAAGTTGCTAAGGCTTACCATTAATTTTTGGCATCTTGTTTTTTTTTTTGTTTCATACAAAGTAAATATGTTCGACAATTTTTTTTTGAAATAGTAGCAAATGAGTAGCACTTTCCACTCGCTCTTTATTATACTCAATTTTAATGCGTTACAAAACTGCAAACCAAATTTTTTTCCAAAGATTCCAATTAAATGGTTTGAAATTTTGGTGAATTAATTTGCAGAATTAATTTTTATAGTTTTTTGCACAAAGTGGAAAATTATATGGTTTCAAATACACGACATTAAAAGAAATACAGAACATTTGGCGTCCCGTAAAAAAATAAATAAATTACCAGGACAATGGGTCCAAAAAAAGAGGACTGTTCCGTATAATACAGGACGGATGGTCACCGTACCCATAATACCTAAAACAATTATCGACAGGGGAGGCAGCCCCCATTGACTGAGCATATGCCATATTTACGGATCGCATACTTTGTTATGGGTTCAACAAGATTTATCAATTATAACACATTTCCGCAAAAGGAGAATATTTATGTATTTCCTGTGGAAAAACCAGCAAGACCCATGTAAATTTTGAGCAAACAAATTATAGAAAAACAGAACAAAACCAAGCACGTGTATTTCACTAGAGATAGGCATGAGCAGAAAATTATATATGTACCTACATATGTATTTACATTGCTATTTTTAGCTACAATTGGAATAAAATTAACCCACTCATTAAATAGATTTATTGCATCAGAAATATAATTTTGCTAAGCATTCGATGGACAATAATTGTCATTCACAAATTGAAACATATTCACAAGCGTGGGTGCGAAGATATCTATATATGTATGTATGTATGATGAACATGTGTGCTTTATATTTATGTGGTTATTTGAAAGCCACTAAAAATATCTCACTCTGACACGCATTTAGCTTTCAACACGCTTTTACGCCCAAACAATTCGAAAAATTATCAAATGAGTTGATTATTTACTTTGAGTGATTGCTCGCTAGTAAGCCTGAAAATTTTACCTGAGTTGGAAATACTAACTAAAAATATGTGTGATTTTACTTGCTACTGATGCATTTCCTTATTTATCTATCTATGCATATACATATTTTTGTGTGTTTGCACGGATTTACATATGTATATATATCCGCAACACACGCTATGTATTTGGCTTATCAGTATACATGCTACATATGTACATACCTATGTAATAATAAATATCGTATCTACTAAATGGAGTGTTTATTAAAAATGCGCTATCTATTTAGATACGAATATAAATAGCCGTTTACACACATACAGACGTATGTATAAATATGTATTAACTAGTTTTCATATGTTTTATATAA